TAATCAAATATTTATGAATTTTCAAAAATAGATTAGAAAAATAAATAAAGATGAAAAAATAGATTCATATTGAATATATTACAAATATCAAGTATATTCAAAAACGAGAAATATAGAAATATAGATATATCTGATAAGCCGTCATTATATAAGAGAGAAATAATGGAAAATATTTTATAGATGGCATATTCCATAAATCAAATCATTTATAATATTCAATTATTCTTCTAATAGAAATCAAATCTTCAATTCTATCAACCAAATACTTTAATGAAAATAAATTGAGAAATTCAATATTAATTATATCTACCTAAATTTATCTATTCAATTTAAAAATCTTCGTAGTTTAATTAATTCCCAAACAAATTATCGTAGCATCATCTATGAATAATTATGATGATCAATATCCCTACAGTATATATCAGAAATTGACAGCCCCGAACAATTGAATATCATTATCATTATTCGCACAGATAGATATTTTTTATCTACAAATTCTTTTTGGGACATATGATTGATATCTATGAATATCAGCAAAAAAAATCGTTGCCATAAATCTCGAACCGGAATCTTGGCGATGTTTATTTGTTTATCTCGCCTCCGTCGCCCGTCCTCTATCAAACACACCGTCATTTGCTTACAAAGGGTATAGCAAACTCAAAAAGGCATCGCCGCGAAGAGTTACCGAAAATGATCATCACAGGTTCCTACGGAAGCGGGCTCATGGATGCACCAGCCAGGTGGTAAGCACCCCAGTGACGAAGGAGATGCCGAAGCAGATTCCTGCTGCCGGGAGCCTCGGAGTTATGGGATATTCCAGTAATCACACTGTATAAGAAATGAAATGACATGCTGAGATTTTATACGGCGCTATATGATTATATGATGTAATTTATCTGAACATTTCCCATGTTGTGCTAGATTACGTCAAATTAAGTATATTGAATACTTTATATGGTCGGAGTGCTCTGAATCCCAAGAACCTAGCTTCAGGCTTTCTTGTTTCGCCTCGGCAGCTTTTGATAAACATCGGATCTTGCTGCTGTAGTTAGTGGTTCCGCTGAAGTGCTTACGGGCTGTTCTCCAAGGGGCGTGTTCACGTCCATCCAGACGGTCCAGCAGGTTCCGTTGAAGATTGGCCTGGTCAAGCAACTGGGGGTTTGTGTGATGGGCCGCCAGGCCATGCCGGAAGAAACCCTCGATGAAGTCACTGTCATACACTCCGGAGACCCCATACTACGCCTTGAGGCAACACGCTTACGCTTATGCTGCAGTATGAAGTTGGCTCTGGGGTTGGGAATCGAAGGCCTAAGCGCTATACACGACGAGATGCACGCGCAACAACAACAGCTCTATACTCTGCGCGGCCACCACGACATGTTGCTCTCATGCAGTTTGCTCTCATGCAGTTAACCAAACAGGATAGTATAGTGGTGCAGTGTTTGCTCGACATATACGACATAAACATGGAAGCCTCCACGAAAACTCCTAGCCCAAGACGGTAGAGGCTTGAACCCCCATTGAAATCCACAAGCCCCATTAAGGGTATCTACCCTCAACCCAAAGACCCTCAAGCCCAAACCCTGACACAGAACCCTCAACCCACCCTACCAAATCAAGATTTCAGGTAGGGCCCTGCTTGTTGAGCTCTTGCATATGACAATGGAATCATCCCCGCGAAAGCTCCGTCGGATTCTCTTTACTCTTAGGCCTTGGCATCGACTAAACCTGCATCTAGGTTTTTCGGTAGCCCTTTGCGGCAGACAGGATTCCCTTGCTCCTTGAGGCCCTTGTTTGCAAAGCAGGCTTTGCACGTCCTAGTTACCCCAAATCCCAATATCCTCCGCCAGGACGGCATAGATAGGTCTTAATTTATAGTTCGAACAATTTTTGAGTTACATAAATAAAGCCCTACCCCGAAACTCCAAAACCTCTTAACTGAGGACTTGTTCTTCAACTAGAAGCCTCTGATTAAAGCATGTTTCCTAATTCCCCGTTTTTAAAGTCTCCGGGTAAACCCTATAGACCTCAGACACTAAGTTTTGCAGGGTCAACCCTAAACCCTCAGTTTTCCAGGGTAAACCCCGAAACCCCAAACCCGAGGTCCCCCTGCCTGCTGGGAGTATGCTTCGAGCCGCAGAACCACTGCTTGCCGGACTCGGTGGGGATAAAGACCACAGGATGAAACCTGACCGTGAACTGTCTGGTGCTTAGTAGGGAATGGGGGGAATGGGTTATAGGGACTACTACAAGGGACCTTAAGGGACTATTATAGGGATCCATTCCCCCATTCCCTACTAAGCACTAGGCAGCCCGAGAGGCTTCTATAAGGATTAGGCTTCAGGGGGTTGGGGGTTTAGGGTTTGGGCGTTTGGGGCTTGTCAGGTTTTCTAGGAGTTTCATCAAGGTTTTGCAGACCGATAGAGCTTGGCCTTTACAGGGTCTCCTTCCGGGCTTCCGAGCATTGGAAGACAGGTTTTCCAGGGCTGCCGGGTTTTAGGTTCAAAGGGCTGTAGAGCTTTGGAGTTTCAGGTTTAGGTCTTGAGCATTTCTGGGCCTTGCAGGTTTTTCGCGTCTTTGCTTCTTGTGAGGCTGAAGGGAGACAGCGAAGAGCAGACATATCTCGTTGCGTGTCCAAGTCATACCACAGGACCGCCTTTGAAACTTGGTTTCTGGATGTTCTTGGAACCACCGTCTGCAAGCCTCGAGTTCTTGCAGGACTGGAGCACTTCCGTATGCGGGCTCCGGGCGTAGGGTTCGTGGTCACCTCGCAGTTTCGCCTCTGCTTTCTTTCTCGCATTGCACCAGCTCTCTGTGGTTTGCTGAGCAAGCTGCTCTGAATTGAGAAGTTGTAGCCTGCCGCCACCTCGCGTCACAGGCCCGAGTGGAAAATGCGCGCCGATGCAACCGTGGTACCACGACGGCTTCTTCCACAACTATACAGAAATATAGAGAACCTACACCTGCGCAGCAGAGCCTCTCCGAATATGCCTCAGAAAAGAGCATCGGATCTGCGTCAAAAGTCATGAGATTTAATTACAACTTCTTTATAGGCATGAAGCATGATCGCTTGCCACCAGTATCTAACTGTGCTTCCTTCGGCCAGCAACAAATGAAGGAAGTGAACGAGGATGTTTGATACGAGAGGTAAGCGATTCTCAAAGCTCAGCCAAACTGCCGAGATGGGCAACGGCTTAATTCCCCATCAGCTCTTTGATTTTGCCGTTCTTTAGGAGTGGCAAGGTCCCTCCCATTCCTCCATCGTTGCAGCCTCCAATGAAGTTCTGCTTCACAAAGACCTTGGGGACACTGGTGGAGCCACCACACTTGGCGCTCAGGGCACCACGGTCAAAGGACTCCACAACCTTTGGGGTGTAGCCTGCCTCGCGAAGAGCACCAAGAGCTTGTTGACAGAAGGGGCAAGTGCTGCTCGAGAAAACCACCATGTCGTGTGCGCTAATCAGCTCGTCAATCGCTGCCGTGTTCGGAGAGCCCTTGCTGCTACCGGAGTTCCCCATTGCAGCACACTTCCTTTTTGAGAGCCTTGAGAGCCGAAATGAGCTCCAAGAACGGAGGTGCCGCCTCTACCCCCGAGCTGACTCCCATTCCAACAGAGCGATGAGGGCATCACCCCAGCGAGGGTTCGATCCTGTGGCCTCATCCACGTAAAATGTCCTTCCTCAGGCCAGCCCTTGCAGATGCAGAAACATCTTCTCAGAACATTGCCTGCAACCTCCTCCCTGAAGCAACGAATGCGCACAAAGAAGTTGCTCCACTCTCTCAGATACTTCATCCCTAAACCCTAAACACTGCCAACCCTAAACCCTAAACCCTAAATCCCTAAACCCTAAATCCCTAAACCCTAAACACTGCCAAGGGGCTTCGTGTCCTTGCATCCGACTTGGTCACACCAGGGCTGTGACTCGTGAGCCGACTCGCCGCAGGAGCACCAGTAATAGACATGGTCCTTCTCTACCTGGGATTTAATAAGGGATCTATAGGGATTTATAAGGGATCTATAAGGGATTTATAGGGGATCTATAGGGATTTATAGGGATGATCTATAGGGTATTATAGGGGATCTATAGGGGATTTATAGGGATGATCTATAGGGATTTATAAGGGATCTATAAGGGATTTATAAGGGATCTATAGGGATTTATAAGGGATCTAGAAGGGATTTATAAGGGATCTATAAGGGATTTATAAAGGATCTATAAGGGATTTATAAGGGATCTATAGGGATTTATAGGGATGATCTATAGGGATTTATAAGGGATCTATAGGGATTTATAAGGGATCTATAAGGGATTTATAAGGGATCTATAAGGGATTTATAAGGGATCTATAGGGGTTTATAGACATTCTACAGAGATTTATAAGAAATCCATATAGGGGTTTACATCTATGGCCTCTCTAAGAGATCTACAAGGATTGATCAGGGATCTCAAGGGAGTCCCGGGGTTCCGATTTGATGACTTGTCAGTTCGGGCCTGGGTAATTCCTGTGTTCTCGAGGCAGGAGATTGTGGAGAAAGGTATCTCGATACGCGAAAGGGCTAGACACACGATCCTAGCTCGAAACTTATTCCGCTCACACCGTACGAGTTGGAGCCCGCAAGCCAAAAGCAGGCCGGGTGGATGCGAAGGGGGTGCATTCGCCAAGTCCCAGGCCTGTGCTTCTAGCAGAATTACCAACTGCATGTCGCAGAGCGCCTCCCGTCGACCATGCCTACAAAGTGGATGCTTGTCTCTGAACTTCCCAAACTTGCAGAGACATCTAGTTGACATCTAGTATTCAGGCCGGCTGGCCATGAATCTACTCTGCACATACTACGATTGGTATTCTGGGGTCCTGACCGAAGAAGCATATCAAATCGTGCTTTGTATTGCTGTCTTATTACATATGCAAGATTAACACATCAAGGCGCATGCGTGATGTACGGGCCCAACTTCGGCGAGTAGGGCACGGGCTCGTATGGGAACCACCTCCAGGGCGTCTGTACATTTACAAACCAACATAGACAATGAGCTCGGATACTTCAGGCAGAGATAAGATACACAAAAGCATGTACAGACGAACAAACACATGATGCTTACGAACATGTATGTATGTATGTACATGAATGCATGTACCTGCATGCAAGCATACCCTCTCCGTGAGTGCATACAGGTTTGCATTCGCAGATAGATGCAGAAATATGATTGCTGCTTCTTCATTGCTCCTTGCTCCGACCCACATATAACTATGTGTTTACACTTACTGCTGACTAGCCAACTCCCGAACAATCAATGATCTGCATTTCTCGTCGACATCTAGGCGATATCATTCGTGGGAAGGCCCGTCGAAACGAACAGTGAGAGGACGCAACATTATAGATATGACAATCAGATGCATATGTATATACATATACACTCTATACATATAAAATTATGATAACCATGATCACAATACTAGTACTCTATATATACAGTCGTATACATACGTACGTTCAGAATAAGGTTTGGGGTACATGTTAAGGACGATGAGGTACTGTACTGCTATTTCAACCCTTTCCTACTCCTTAATACTAGCATCTTGATCAAATTGGAGATTGCTTGCGATGAAGCGATGACCTCAGCACGTTTTTGCTGCCATCAATGCGAGACAGGAATGCAGGCAAACGTGACAGGCTTCCCAGATTGGCTTGAGAGTTTTGGATCATTCGTTGACCCACAAGTTTGATTCTGCCCTGTCCTGTCCGGAACTTGTGGAGTTTGAACTGCGCACGAGAAGAACCCTGAGAGATTGGTCCCATGAAGGGTTGAATGTCCTCAACTTGGCGGATAGATGAGTCGTAGTAGCGTGGCAGCTAGACAGAAGTAAAGCTATGGAAGGCCTACCTTGGGCCGAACGATGACTGACCAGGCGCCCCGATGAGCAGCTGCTCAGAGTTTGCCCTAACTACTGGGGATACCGGAACCGGACATCCACATGCTAAACACTGCCCTGAACCCTGAACTCCAGTCAAGGAGTTACGCAGGTTTTCTCGCCTTTAAGTTCATGACTCCAATATGCCGAACGCTGAACTGCAGCTGGGCCCGAAAAACTCCAAATCTACGGCTCAAAAATAACGCGTGTTTTTGTGAAACCATCCCCTCCTGAATATTTTAATCATAGATATAGAGTGAACTGAGGCCGTGGGGCTTGTTCCAAGGCGAAACAATCTTCGGCGCCCCATTCTTCTTGGAGACCTCATAGCCCGCAGCTTCCCACTCATCGGGCCTTGCAGCCATGTCTCGGGTTCAATATTATGGGTAGTTGTCAAAATTATGGTCCCTTTTGGGGTACCCTAAATAATAGGTGCCGTATTATAATAAGGACCCAAAACGGACCATAATTTTGACAACCACCCATATGTAGCTTCGTTTGCTGTGGAAGGTGCTGCGTAAGGCTTTTTTTAATCGGTGTAGAGCCTCGGAAACTCAAAGAGCCGCGAGCTTCAAAGTTGAATCCGAGGCCAGCAAAAAAGCTGAAAGTGCGCACCGAAGATCTCTGCGGGCTTCCCAAAGGCTCTAAGGTACTTATATGGTAGGTACTTTGGGGCCCAAAATATCTACTATATGGGTACTTAGACCCTTTGGGTTTCAAGGCTTGGAGGCTGACGATGTTTGGCTTGGACATACGGGCAGATGACTGCTTCGTCAGCGATATCTGTGAGTCCCAAATATAACTTCAAGCTAGCGCAGCCTACAGCAGCAACAAGACAAACCATGCTCATTCTCGCAAGCAGCAGCTGGAGGAGTTAGAGTAGTAGCAGCAACAAGAGCAGCAGTGGGAGTAGCACTAGGAGGAGTGGAAGTAACAGCAGGAGTTGAAGATAATTGGAGTAGCAGCAGCAATAGCAGTTGCAGTGGCAGGAGGAGCGGCAGTAGCAGCAGCGACAAGCGGTAGTAGCAGTAGCAGTAGCAGAAGGAGGTTGCCAGCAGCAGCCGGACTGGCAGCAGTCGTTGCTGCTATGCTAGAACCACGCTGCAAGCAGCAAGACTTGAGCCCCGCTGCGTTGAGGGGATGAAAGCGCTGGTACGAGCGGCAGCGGCGGATGGAAGCCTGCGAGGCTCAACGCATTTTTAGGCCTTATATTGGTGTAGTCTTGCCGGCTCAGCATCCGCAAAGCAGCTGGTAGGACGGCTCTGCACAGAAACCGAGCTCAAACGCCAGGCACAACAACGGAAACCTCCACCGTGTCCCCTGCAGGTCGGGGCCTGGAGATGGCCAGCGTCCGGCCTTTGGTCACTGCCCTGGCATCCAGAGAGCAGTGTCCAGGCTCCTATTCAGACTATATATAGTTTATACAGCATATACATATATAGAGAGTATATTATATATATATATAGTATACATATATAGTGTATATATAGTATATATAGTATATATAGTATATATAGTATATATAGTATATATAGTATATATAGTATATATAGTATATATAGTATGTATAGTATATATATATATATGTGTAGTATATATAGTATACATATGTATATATATATAGTGTATATAGTATATATAGTATATATATATATATATAACATAGTATATATAATGTATATAATGTATATATAGTATATAGAGTATATATTATTATTATTATTATTAATATTATTTTTATTATTATTATTATTCGGCTAAACTACCCTGGCGTTGAGCACTTACAGAGGTGCTTGCACTGGGGATCGCCATACCTTCGAAACAGAGCCCCACGACCAGAAGCAGGCTCCGCCTCATGAGCGACATGGCTTCAAGGCCTGAGCAATGGAAGGACTCCAACTTGTCTAGAAAGCAGGGATGGTATGGAACCACCCTGAGCCAAAACAGCCACGGCAAGGACACCATCTTTGGGAAAAAGACAAAGTGCACAGCGGTCTCAAAAAACGACCTGTCATGCTCCCTGCCACTCAGAGCCGCCTACAAAAGGCTCCAGGAACATCAGCGCTGGCGTTTTCCAAACGCAGGCCGATTTGGGGCACTGTTTGCGGTAGCCTCTCCTGATCGCTGTGGGGTACTGCTTTGGTACCACTCATGCTCTCCTGTGCCAGACGGCACGCGGTGCAGTCAGCAGAAGGACTCTGCGCCAGATGATGGCGTCCGTCTTGCTTAATTATAGTAACTATATATAATTATAGTAACTATATTATAGTAACTAAATTACATTATAGGAACTATAATATAGTGCATACAAACTTATGGACCAGCCACCTCCAGCGTTTTATCTGTTGTCGCTTTCGGCCGGGCCTCCCCTGTGTCAAGGGCCCGCATGGAAGAGCTCCGATCCGAAACGCAAGCCTACGATATGTTCCCCTAACCCCCAGGTACCTACTATATAGGGCCCTAGAGGCTCTAGTACCCTATATAGTAGGTACCTGGGGGGTTAGGGTTCATCAAGCCGTTTTTGAACACTAGGACGTAGGCGATAACTTCTGTTGCATCATGTTGACATAGCGAGACATGATGCCGAGACACATGCATGCTGACAGCTAATGAGTTGCTTTCTCGCCTTGGGTCCTGGTGGCCATGCGACAGTGCACTGCGCCAGCAGATTTTCTCAACCTGCCCGGTCAAGCGCATCGGTCGAACTCTGCAGACACCGGGCGTCAGAGATCATCAAAGTCGTCGAAGGCCTCTACTTCGTGCTCACGCCTGCCGTGCCCGCAGAAACAGCTTTTTCTGCTTGTGGGCTTCTCCATGTTACTTCTGACTGCTTTAATTGCAACAGCCTGGACTCTTAATTAACTGCAGGGATTGAGCAAAATCCGAGACCGCAGCTGGTGTCGTGGAGTCGGAGCTGTATATACACACTATATGCAATTACAGTCTAGTTCATCAATTGGGAAAGCTCGCGCACAGTCGCAAGGACCTAGTCCAACGTAGTGCACTGCAACATTACGTGCCATTACCAAGTGCCTCGCATGCAAGATATACCTGACATATACCTACATGACTACACATATGTATGCATGTATACATGAGCCAGGGGCTGCATTCCACCCCCACCCCCCACCCGAACATACTCGAAACCTAATGGTATGGTGCCGTGTCTGGTTGCTTTTTGGTCCTCTGCCTTTGGTTCGGTTCTCCCTGCCTGGAGTTTGGGTCGTTGGGTCGTGCTCCCGCGCGAATACTATCCCACAAACCTGCCCCCTACAAACGAGAACTACAATCATACCGACTATGCGGGCAGGCATGCATGTTCGTATTGTCTGCTCTTGGAGGCGCCTCTATTCCTGTGTGTCGTTTCGTGACACCATAAGACAAACACGCACGCCGGCCTAAAAAGCTCTACTCAAAATATCTACTATATGGGTACTTAGACCTTTTGGGTAAGCCCGAGAAACCTATGCAGACCCATCAAAACCACAGGAAATGAAGCTACCGGAGCCGAAGAATGCCAAGGCTGAGGCAGTCCGGCTTTCATCTCCGCGAGACCAGAGATCTCCTGCTACTTTTAACGGCAGCAAAGCAGCAACGTCAATGAAACATACCTATAGTCTCCATTGTAGCTCCTTTTTGGGGATACCTTTAAAAATCCTTAATATACAATTGGTTGAACCAAAAAGGAACTACAATGGAGACTATGTATAGGTAGGAACCGCGGCAAGAAGATACAGGAACACAAGTATGCAGGATATACTTGAAGAAGTCGTGGTACTGGCCCAAGCCTTCCTCCTTGGAGCCGTAAGATCAAGGCAAAACAGCCATGCTCCGTCCGGGGTATGGGCAATCATGAATGTCGATGCCACCTTCTGGTGGCAATGCCAACTTCACTCGACTGCTTCGCGTGTTGTGACAGCTTGAAAAAATGGAGTAACCCTAAACCCTAAACCCCAAAAACAGGTTGGCCCTCAGAACAAAGGAGATTCATCTGAACTCTCTGCTGTCGATAACCACTTGGTAATCTCAGACTGAGCTTTCTAAGAGCAACCACGGAGTCGCAGTAAAGGTTTGTTGTGACTATGCCATTGCCATTACGATTCGTATGCCCAAAGGGTCTAAGTACCCATATAGTGGATATTTTGGGCCCTAAAGTACCTACCATATAAGTACTTAGACCCTTTGGGATGATGACAGACATAGGACACGTCCTCCAGGATCGAGGAATCGGCAATGACCTTCTCCAGGAAGGACATCCCCTCGTCGGCGTAGCGCTGCAGCACCTGATCCGTGCAGCCGCTGTAAGGTACAAGGCCCGAGACCCTGCGGTAAAAGCTTCTCGAGTGCAGGGCGGCGGGAGGTAGGAGTTCGGGCTATGGGCTCTTGGTTCCGGTTCCTGGCAGAATCACCCAACACGAGGAAGCCACATTGCGAAAAAAGACTCGCGTATGCTGTGGGTCGTGTGATGGCGGGCCCCTGGACACTAGCCTTACCTGAACCGGAGGGTTGTCCTACAGAGCGGGTACAAGTTAGGGCTGCCTGGATGCACATGATTCATATGAACATGAGCATCCGAACACGTTGTTAGTGCAGCAAACAAAGACACGAAGCAAACAGCAACTAGCAGTGATGCCCTCCTGAGACAAACAATGGGGTTGAGGAGTCTGCTCTGTTCCTTCCGCTCTGTAGAAGAATTCGGGCCTCCACGGCTCCCTTCCTGGGATTCTTTGGGGTTTCGGCCGACTCCCTCCAACACCCAAAAGAACATCAACACTTGCACCAGTTCAGATGGAAGCCGCCGGGCTACAAATGTTAGGGGTTTCAGAGTGTGCGTCTCTTTAAGGGTTTGGGCTACAATCTACAAGTAGGGTTGCAGGGTGCAGTAAAGCTCAGGCTAGCAGGTTCACACGATAACTCCTCCATGTGCGGAAATTGATGGAGTCTTGAGCCCTGACGGAACTCTCGCATAACGAAATTGGAGAGCACCACGCAACAATTCTGCGAACAAGACGTAGCTGCCCTCCTTTGGGGTGTGGAACATATGGGAATGCGCAACTTGTTTGAGCACAGCCCTCTAACCCGCAGCCCTGCCTATAGTCTCCATTGTAGTCCCTTTTTGGGGATACCATATAAAATCCTTGGTATATAATTGGTTAAACCCAAAAAGGAACTACAATGGAGACTATAGGTGTATCTCGAACCTGCCTGAGGGGAGCAGCAGATGCAGCGTGAGAAGGGCTCTGTCTCCACAGGGGACAAGGTATACCTTGGACGAAACTTGAATCTCGAACTATAGCATGTGTGTAGAACGGGCATGCACGTGATATGTAACACAAACGCAGCCTGCGACTGCTACTACGACGACGACTGCTACTACCGTCGTGGTCGTCATGGTTAGAGCGCCGGCAAGCCCGACAGGGATGAGAGTTCGTGGTTGCGAGCGCAACTGAGCCCAGAAGATTCATGGATTTTTGGCAGAGGTCGGGGCCGATGTTCACGGATTCTTCGAGTTTGAAATGTCTTACTGTGCCTCATGCCCCAAAATCCACGATAGGTCTCAGGGGGTTCAGGCAACCACTGTGGAGTGCTGGCCCAGGTGCTCAGCTGCATAGCCGCGAACCTGCACGAAAGCAACTTAGGAGTCCACTGTGGTTTCAAGTCAGTTTGGGATGCATGCCGGCTTTCCTCGACTGCTTATGGTTCAGAGTGTGCCAGAGCTAATTTCATGGGTCGAAGGAACGATGCTGAGTCATGATGTCTACAGAAGCTACTATGTACAGTAGTAGTACATAGTACATCATAGTATGCTTCACGAATCTCCGGAACCAGACGTGCAACCTCGATCTGGGACATGTTGATCGGAGTATCGTCGCACCAATCAGTTTCTGCGGAGTCATGAGGATACTGCCCAGAAACGCAGGTACGTAGCATGAGCTTTAGACGTCCTCATGTGTTGGAGTGCTTTATAGATCCCTGTAGTATGGCTATATAAGGACTATACTGACTATAAGCTAGGGTTTCGGGTTTAGGGTACCCTAAACACCTAAACCCTAAACTATAAGAGCACAGTTTGTTCAGTCGCCGAGGGCCCATGGATTCCTCGGTTGCAAGTCTTTCGAAATTGGCCAAGAAGATTGAGGCCCTGCAGTGCCATGGAGTTCTCCCCACTTGGGTTTCGGAGTTCCCCTTCTTATCACTATAGTATCTTTAGTACAACGTAACCCCCAATCATCAATCCCTATTCATATTCTACTTATTATGGCATAGCAGACCCCAAAACCCTAGTCTACCCTTATTATTTATCACTCTAGTATCGTTAGTATAACAGACCCCCAGACCCTATTCAATATCCTACTTATAAGTATCCTACTTATTATGGTATAACAGACCCCCCAAACCCTGTTCTACTTATTGAGGCCCCCAGCGGCACTTCGCCGTGAGCGTCTGACTCCGAAGCTTCAGGAGCCTCAAGAAGCACCCAACCAACATCTCCCAACAAACCCTAAACCCTAAACCCTAAACCCTAAACCGTGGCGGTTTAGGGTTTAGGGTTTAGGGTTTACTAGGTTTTTTTTGTGTATCACCTCTTTTCCTTCGCCTGACAAGGTCTCCGGAATACCATGCTGGTGGACACTAAGGTTTAGGGTTTAGGGGAAACACCGAACACCGCCCCGAAAGTCCTGCAGGACCGTCCTCCTCCCCTGAAAAAGACTCCCACCTGGTGTGGAACCCCTCCCAGAGGAGAGCTGTAGAGGTTCTCCAATCCCGTCCAGGAGGGGGCCGCAAAGCCCGCCTGCGCCAAGCTTAAATTGGCAGCTTTGCTTGTGTGCATATCGGTGCAAGAAGTATCGTGCTGTTTCCATGCGACCCCAACAGGCTCAACCCAGAACCCACGAAGCTTCAAGCAAGAGGGCCACGAAGCATCAAGACCCTGAAGTGCTAAGCCTTCTTGGATCGCGGGCCCTGGATTCCCAAACCTAACTTAGAGTTCAGGGTTCTTTGGGCTTGGGGTGGCTAAACCCAAAGGGTCTAAGTACTTACATGGTAGGTACTTTGGGGCTCAAAATATCTACGATATGGGTACTTAGACCCTTTGGGAAAGCGGCTGGAGGCTTAAACTGGATGGAAGCGCGAAGATGCCTCGTGTTGTGTTAGGGCTGCCAGAAGCTCGACGGCAACGCTGCTCGCCAGACCCGAGATGCCCGGGCGGGTCACTGTGCACTGTTGGTCCAAAGTCCTGACTGCTTGGAGGTTCATGGGTAGTTATAAGTGGGGTTATAAGTCCCTTACTTGGGTTAATAACTATAATTACCCTACTTATAACTGACCATGAACCTCCAAGTGGGAGTTTCAAGGCAAGGGAGGCTGAATTAGAGTCGACCCTATTATACCCGGACCTGTACCAGCCTCAAAACAAGGCCCAACAAAGGCTCACCAAATATTATGAGCCGCCCGGCCATTCCATTGAAAATTGGGGTACGTAGGTTCTCGGCCTTGAACACCTAGATCCTTCTTGGTTTGTGCCGGGGTCTTTTGTTTTGACACTTGTTTTCCTCCCTGTTACAGTTGGAACGCCACGTCAGCTGCTTGCTGCACTAGCTGAAAAAGCCTTTGATGCAACACACCAACCAACACTGCAGCACTCCCGCGAGAAGCTAGACTACTCCGCGCCAGCCGCCAACTCTGAAAAGCGAGAGTCTCACACCCAGAGGCCCAGCTTCAGAGATTTAGGGTGTAGGTCCGGTGTCGCGCTCGGGAAAATCATTGCAACAGCTGTTTTCACGACAAGATACCGGAACTGAGACAAGGAAACCACCTTTGCCAACACAGGCAAGCCCGAAGGGGCCCTGCAGACTTAGGGCTTAGGCTTTAGAAACGGAGCTCATCCTAATCTCAGAGGAGACCATGGCATCTGCTGGTCCCTGGTCCTGAATGCCAGGGAGTCCTTGGCGCTGCATCGGCTAGCCGACACTGTTTCAGTTGGGATGCTTCTGATCTCAACAGTGCTGAATCAGGTCCCCAAAAGAACAACAACAACTGCCCTTGCATCGAAGGCATATGACGGCAGGAGCCCTAAAGCCAAAAGACAGCGCCAAATGTAACAACAGTCTGTGTGTGTGTGTGTATGTGTCAACTATATACTATATAATATAGAGTATATGTTATATACTCGACAACATATATATATATATATATATATGTATATTTCCTTATATATCCTGCAAAGCTATCTAGCTATCTATCTGTCTATCTATCTATCTATCTTGCCCGTCCATCCATTCACCCATCCATGTGTTTATCTATCGATCGATCTTTCTTTCTATCTCTAAGAATGTCCAACTATCTCCATCTATCCCTATCCCTATCATTATCTTTTCTGTATCCGTATCTGTATTTATCTACATGCATATCTACATCAACTATCGTCCGTCAATGTTGCAGGAATGCATGTCCTTTGTGAAAACATGCGCGTATTCATGGAATGCTCCTCAACACTTCACTAGCCCCCGCCCTCCCCCTCCTCCCGCTCCGCTAAATCCTACCTACACCCGCAAATCTCCACCCCCCCACTGCTGGCTTCCAAATCCTGGGTAGACCCAAGAGGTCCCTCAAAACTTTAGCCACCCCCGAAAGAGTCCGAGGCTCGGCAGGAGCGGTGACATCGTTACAGAAGTAGCAGGCAGCCACTGCGCTCTTGTAGGTCTGCCTGCTGACAGACTGTCTGCTTTGGGCGAAAGTCTTGGGGCTCTGGGCGGTCCGGATTGTGGGGATCTCGGTACTAGTAGCTTCGGGGTATGGGGGTTCCGTTTTTGAATGTGCTGCAAGGGATGGGATCATGGGCAATAAGGCTTCGAGGATCCAAATGCAATGTACAGGAACAACGCTGGAACATGGGGGAGGGGGGGCTGAATCTGTCTGAGTCTGCCAGCTGCCCCAAAAGAGAGCACGCGAAAGGTACATGTGAAAAATCTTAAGTCTTATAACTGCAAGAGTCTCACGACAAATTTCTGACACAATTGCGGTTTGACATAATCCAAAGGCAAAGGAGCACTGTCCGCGCGATGATCTAACATCACTGTCCCTGCCTGGAAACCAAGAAGGAATCGAAACCGAGCGCAACCGTCAGCCCCAAGGGCGGAAACTCTTTCTCCTGGAAGGGATATGAAGGGATTCTATCTGACCTCCTCCAGAGCATGGCAGCGCCGTTCAGAGGCTCAAGCAAACCCTCGACTGAACTCGCAACTACCCATTCAACTCTGGAGGGTGGCAACACAGTGCCAAGTCCTACTGCTAATTGTGACCCTATACACCGGGAACACGCCGCAAAGCAGTGAGAGCCGGCGACACCACGCGAAGGCGGGGAACATTCAAAGAATCGGGTCTCCGTTCCATACCTCTGGTCTCCATTGTAGTTCCTTTTTGGTGTTCGCTTATAGGATCCTAAACATAAAATTGGTTGAACCAAAAAAAGGGAACTACAATGGACACTATAAGTAATTCATAATGGCTCCTTACCTTGGGACCTTGGAGCCTCCAGGCAGTCTGGACATCATTCTGTGGGTCCTTCTGCTGTGCGGCCACGAGCAAGGATGGGACCCACCGAGACTCTCGGGAGTCAGTTAGCATGCCTCGGAAGCTTCGAAGGATCAAGGTGGTTTTTTCAGATAAGGGTACCTGAAACAAGTTAAGAAAGGGATCGGACTGACAAGTTTCACATCCTAACCTGTAAGCAATCGGCTGCAGCGTGCGTGTCTGCCCCAGGGAATTGGATCCAAAAAGCTTGGGATCAATGTCAACGATTGGGAGCGCTACACTGCGAACGGAAACATCAGGACTCCGACAAAAGGCGTGGACGAAAGGACGTTGCGTAGTGGCAAGACATTCAGATGTCGCAAACAAGATTGCCGTAGTTCACGTCTCCCCGGCTATTGTTGCAAAAATCCTAGTCTGCAACAGGCTCAGCAACTAGCCGCAGCCCAGAAGAGTCAACGAATATCTACATGACTCCATGTCAGACTTCAACCTTTGCAGAGAAACAGCAGCCGAAGTAGGTCATGCCTCATGTTCAAAGTACCCTTAATCACACGTGCACACACATAGTGGTTAGTCCGTCGTAGCAGCCGAGCTGCACACAACATCATGCGCGTCTATGAGCTCCTGCAGCTTTGCCTCATGACTGCCCCGAGTCACGGATTGGTCACGGGTTGGCTCTACGTGTGGTTCCATTCGAGGTACGGTGGTTCGCAGGTGCTGATCCCCGAAATGCCCCGAAAAGGGATCAGAACAAAGCCGTTCGCGACGCTCTCGGGAGGTTGTGTTTAGTTTGTTCCAATTGACGTGCATCCTGTATACACCCAATATAACCCAATATGTTGTTTGTGTAATGTTCTGTATACACGTATGATTACAGATCACAATCGTGTTGTGCCAGAAATTTAGAAATTTGTCTCGCTCCCTGTCCTCCCCCGAAGGTGCTTTCGGAACAATGTGTCGAGCCATGAGACAGTGCACTGGCGGGCATCACAAACAACAGAGTCCGTGATTAAGGACAACTACTGGAGGTCCCGTGCAACACCGGTCTAGACAAATTCTGACCAGGCATCGCAGGATGCAAGCTCGGGTGCCCGCAGCCGAAGTACCACCACTGTCGAGGCAATCTATTGGGATCCGAAACAACATCCTTCGGCGTTGAATGAGATGGGTTGAAGGCTTATCGAGACCCAGTGTGTCTAGGGCTCTTGAAGTCTAATATGTGATTCTCAGAAAGCAGTGTTGGTCCAGCTGCGAGGTTGCCGCGGAGAACATCTGCTGACTGGTGGGGATGACCAGGCATCGGGATGTCCAGGACAACCTGAATCACTGAACTATTGCTGGCACGATCACAGGCATCACCGCCTTCGGCAACAGTAGATAAAAGTTATGTAGTAAAGCATGATTGGCAATGGAGTTTTTCTGTCGAGCGCCGAAGGGCTCCCTGAGAATGCGAAGCACGAATAGGAGGCAGACGAGGAAAGTGAGACAAGTGCAGCCGTCATAGAAGATACATTACATGGGAGTAGCGCAGGGAAAGATGCAAGCAGTGCTGGCACAGCCTACTCCGACGAACTTTTCATTTCCGACCCTCCAGTCGGCCCAGTGACATCCGCGACTTCTGCATCAGGCAGGATGGCCTTCACGAGCTTTGGGTTAAGGCTGTGCGGTGCATTGTTCCTGCAAGTCTAGAGAGCCTGAACTTGGGCAATCCTGAAAGACCTGAAGCAGACTCTACTTCTCCATGTCGACTCCACTCTTCTCCATGTCAGAAACATGTTTGTGGGTATCTTCTGAAAGCAGGAGCAGCTGCTGCTGCTGCCCCCCACGCACTCGGTGGAAAACAGGCAACGCGCTTGACTCAGGGAAGGTTTTCTTTGATTAAGTGCACTAGCCCCCTTTCTCCTTCAGAAGCTGTCAGGGAATGTTTAGGGTTTTTGGGGATTGAGTATTTCTCCATGCTGACGGGAAGGAAAGCACGCCCATGCCTCGACAGCCTCGCGAGCCGCAGTCGCCTTGCACAAGCGCAATCGACAAACGCCTCGTTCATAATCATCATCCTCATCATCATCATCATCATCATCATCATCATCATGACGACCGTCCCGTCGTCACTGCCACCAGCACCATGGCTGGGCTGATCCTATAGAGACCCACTGATGTATTGCGCGATGGAATGATCAGTGGCCCAGGCAGACAGACCGCTTGGTTCCACTTGTCCGAACAAGAACACAAGGTCTGCTAAACTATGTAATTGGCTCACTGCGTCCATCCATGAATGTGGCAATCTCGACATGCACTGAGGTGGCTGCTGTTGATGGCCTGATGACTACCTTTATTACTATCCTTTACTCATTACTCCTGTGCACATACACATGTACACAGAGAGGAAAAGCCTGTGCAGACTGGAGGGCTTCCATGTCTGATGAGCCTTCTGAGGACCTTTCCGACTTACCCACACGGAATCGCTTCAACCAAAAAACCCGAGAAGAAACGTCAAATCGCCCAAGGAATTGCTCGGGTCACCTTCGACCTCGTCTGTCGGGGCGTGTCCCGTCCATTCACCCCAAAACCGCGGAGATACTGTAGACTTCAGTGTGGGCCTTCTTGCGCCCCTCTGCGGCGTCCCTGTGCGTGAAAAGGCTCTGCCGGACCGGGTTGGAGTAGGACACCTCCAGCATGGCAAAGCGGTCTTCTTACGGGCCGGAATAGCAGACTACAAGTACGTTACCCTAGGAGCAACGCCACTCATTATTCAGGCGCCTACACTCAGTTCTCGTACGTTTCCTCGCTTTCGCTTTCAGAAGCTTGATTCTCTAATCCATGCGATCTGGGCCGTGTCGCGCGTGTATGCGTGCTCAGTTTCTATCTCCAGGGATTCAATCCGAACTTCAGGTGATTATGTGTTTAAAGGGTTTGTAAAATCATATTGGTAACAAGAGAAAGAAAGAGAGAGAAGGAGAGAGCGAGCTAGGGATACAGAGAGTACACAAAGTATATTTTGTCGCTGTACAGCGTGTCCAAAGCCGTTCTACCAGGCTCGGGTTCTGAATGTCGCAACATCCCCAAAGTGTCTAAGTACCCATGTAGTAGATATTTTGGGCCCCTAAGTACCTACCATGTAAGTACTTAGACCCTTTGGGATCCCAGTGTTTGTTGCACTGCCCATTCTGCCCGGAGTTTCGCCTTGCCCGCATCCACGAAGGTCATCCGCCTCTGCCAGGCAGAAGCATGCGCGAAACCCCGGAGCCCCTTAGAGTTACCCATGGGCCTCATAGTAGTTCCTTTTTGTGGCTTATATTTAGGATCCTATTAGGTAATCCCCACAAGGAACTACTTTGGGGTCCTATGGGTGTCGTGATCCCTAACGCCGGAAACACTTCACCCCGAAACCTTAAACGATAGTGGGGTCCCGAGCTACATCCACATGCTCTGCATCATGCCGAAGTCTTCCAGAAAGGACTGTCGTGGCGCGGCTGAAGTTTTCTGACTGTTATTCGATTGTCGTTGTCGTCGGTGGTGATGGTGGTGGCCGTTGCTGCTGCTGTTGTTCACAGTCTACCGCCGTCATGACAGTCGACTTTATTTTAACTTCATCTGATGTGTGCGGGACTGTGCATGTGGGGCCAGTAACCACAGTCCACAACCCGTGCCTGCAGCCCCAGCCCATCAGTGCGCGGGCCACCCCGCAGCCCAGGGTGCCAGCACCGAGGAGCAAGATCCGCAAATCCTGGAGAGCAGCTTGGCTTACCCTACCCTTCCAGGTACCTACTATATAGGGCCTTAGGGGCTCTAGTACCGTATATAAAGTACCTGGGGGGTTTGGGTTAGATGTGTTTAAAGGCTTGGGCCACGCGTCCTTCATTTTCTCCGGCTGCAACGACGGCAGCACTCGCCACTGCATCAGCTTGATGTTTAGATCCACTGCGTTTGCCTTAGACAGGGAAAACCGCCGGCAAGTGCAAAGGGAATTGAAGCGGCATTCGCGGTCAGGCAAATTGAGATCAGCCAAGCCGCTGCGACGGTTTTGGAATCGAGAAACCGGGTGAGGTCGGTAGTCGCAATTTTCCTGGGCGAGCTTGATAGTTCGGATTTCGTTGGTCTCAGGCACTGGCGAACCAGCGATTGCTGCAAAGAAACGACGTCTATCCGTTTTTCAGCCGATGCCGGGTACGACATGCACATACCGAGATTCGCTCTTGTGCAGTGAGTCTTCTTGCACGCCCCTTGGGGCACAGTACTATACACTACGATGGTAGCTACAACATTGCCTCGGGATGCCTGTGTCTGGTCTCACACTGCCACCGCTGGTGCTGCCAGCTTGTTGATGCTGCGAAGTTCGACATCGAAAATCAGGTCGGCCCCGGGAGGAATAGGGCCTTTACCTGCAGTCCCGTAGCCAAGGGCAGCCGGCACCTGCAGAGCAGCACGCTCGCCGAGGCTCATGTGGGGCAAGGCCATCTCCCAGCCTCGGATGACCTCTGAAGCGCCGAGCTCGAAGCCGAACTGGCCGTGGTCGAAAAGCGTGCCATCCGTCAGGTATCCTGCGTACCGCACGGAGAGAAGATCCTTCTGCTGCGGGAAGTGCTGCCCGTCTCCTGGCCTCACCTGCTTCAGCCTCAACCCGTTCTCCAGCACCAAGGCGGCGGGTGCTTTCGCAGGCGATGCCATGGACGCCTTGCGGGGAGTCCCGTCAGAGTCGGCCGAATTCAGGATAGTTTGCATCCAACTTTCGTCCGGAATCTCCCCGTGCTGCACTTGGTCCAAAAGCTCGGGACTGAAAATCTTCTTCAAGGCACTTGGGCTGCTGATGACTTTGGACATCGCCGGGTCCATCGCCGCCAGCTGTTGCACCAGGGGGTCTTGGTGCACGGCCTTCATGAGCATCCCGGTGTCATTGCTCAACTTCTGAATCTGCTGCTTTAC